GGGGGGGGGAGTTGAAGACTAGTTGGGACAGTCCTGATAAGTTTGTGGATAAAGATTAAATCAAGGATGGACACTAGTACCAGAAGCCACAAAAGAATAAGATAGTGATAAAATCAATTCTTTTTACCAAGAGGAAAAGCAAAGGATTATTACCCTCCAAATAACATTCGTTTTCAAACTTCCATGTACTTTTACTTACTTCAGGGCTCAGGACTGCAGTGCTGTCACTCGGAACATCTTCTTCATATCCTTTATTATGAAAACTTTCTATTTCATGACCTGCGCTTCCTTCACTTGGGCACTTGTTATATGAGCATCTTGGACTGTTGCTGCAGTGGGAAAACTCACATTTACTGTCCCCAATTTCTGAGGGTGTACATGAGAGATGGGGAGAACCACTGTCATCCTGATATGGTGGTGGCTGCAGCTCGTCCAGTGGGGGCGTTCTTCTCATTCTCTGAATGCAGTTTCCTGATAAGGATTAAGAATCTGGTCACTGTTTCCAACTAGTCCCGACATGCAGTACCGTCTATAATAATTGTAAATAACTTTAAACAGCTGGATTGAAAAATTTGTGGCGATATAACTATTATATTTACTAATGAGTTCTCTTCTTCCATAGCTAACAGGCAGAAATAATCTGGTTCCCCTCTCCTCTCCTCCTGCATAATATGATTAGGAAAAATAAGTCAAATTCTAAGAGAGATCCTGTTCTATACCATAAAAACGAGAGTGATAAGTATTCATTAAATAGCTTATTTATGCGGTTCTCTCTCTCAAAACAATCCTGCAGCATACATACTTCTTCTATTCCCTTGTGATCTGTGGCCTTTCTAGCCAAAGCAATAAAAATATGGTGGGTAAAACAAACATAAAAACCTCATCTACTTTCTTCAGTTACTGAGATGAACTTAAACCAGCATTCGGCTAGCGGTGTCAGAACTGTTTTTCTACATCTATCCTGGATCCAGAATCCTAAAATGAGGTGGAGTGTTAATCAGGCCCAATCCCTGTTTGCTAACCTCCATCAGTCAGCAAAGACTGGAGGCTGTATTCTGTCTGTTCTCCATTGGAAGGGCACTCCCCACCCCACCCCACATCTGTGTCTGTCTGTATTCCTTCTAACGCATGGTTTCCCTTTGTCTACAGGAAGCACCTCCACCTCTAGTGGTAGACGGGAAGCCACATTTTCTTTCACTGTTAAATTGTCCTTTTAATTTTTACCTCAATGATTTATCTCAATGATTGATAATTAACATATCTGTGAACAAGGATGGAGCTGGGGGCTCAAGGGATAAGGGAATAGAGTCCAGTACACCATTTAAG